ATCAGCTCCCACTTCTGCTCCTGCGCTCTGACCCAGGCACCAATTCTTTCCTCTAGAGCCTCCACCTTATCTCCCCAAAGCTGGATGGATATGCTCTTGAAAGTGAGCGCAGCGAGGTAATGCCTCTGTTCTCCACAACTTTGGGGAGGAGTATTGCTTTGCACATGTTCTGGGGACAGACCTACTGTACCCAGTCTTGCCAGAACTTATAGGCAGCACACTGAGCACTCTCAGACAGCTTCGGCACTTTGTCCCAGGAGTCATGTGAAATGGAAGGCAGAGATCTAGGGAGGAAAAGACCACTGCAGACTAGATGGTCTTGTGCAAAAGAACACCTAGGCTAGTAGCCCTGGAGCATAATTTTATTTCTCTTCCTCTCTCTCTCTCTCTCTCTCTCTCTCTCTCTCTCTCTCTCCCTAGCCCAAACCACACTATGTCTTCCAACATGTACCCTTCCTTCTCCCCTCCCTGTCTCCCTTCTTCCCACTTAACCTGGTGCCTGGTACTCTCAGACTAATAAACCCCAGAATCCAGTTGTGGCCAGAGCCAGGAGTAAACAGGGGGAGTTGATAACCTGGAGAGGCTGACTTCAAACCCACACAGCCCTCCTGAGAGAGGCTAAGGAACTTCTCGGCCATAAATCACAGCACCCCACAGGTGGACTGGCCAAAGAAACAAAGGCTAGCATAGCAAGAAGGAACTTTTCCTCTCTCTTCTATTTCCTTACTCTCCCAGGTCTTCCTCCTTGAGCTCTGAGACCCTGACACCAAAAGGAGCCTTTGAGAAAGGTAGATTTAGGGATCAATTCCACTCTCAGCTCCCACCTGTTGCGTGTCTTTAGGGTTCTGATAAGAGTGGAGGCCATGTTAAGAGTAGAGGCCAGGCTATGAGAGGACTGTGGCTTCCTGGTCTTCAGGTTATACAGTCTTGAGGTGGGGGCATAAGGTAAAAAACAAACAAACAAACAAACAAACACCTTCAGGTCTGGGCAAAAAGGCTGAGGGTATCCTTTGTTTGTGTCAACCCACTAACTAGGATGAGTTACATCACCTGGTGATGCAAAGGGCTGCTGGCTTCTACCCCTTCCTTGGTCTCCAGCCCAAAATGCCAGCTTAAGTTCTAGGGCTTCTCTGATGGCCATAGATAGCACCCAAAGACTGATAAAATGGTTTTTAAGGGATATTTTAAAGATTTTGTAAAAATCTCCATACCCATAGCAAAGATGAGAAGTTTGGACAGACTACTATGAACTCTGATGCAGGGTTTTTGAGTTGTCCCACCCATTCCCAGCAGTAAGAACAATTATACATTCCCTAGTCAGTATAAATAAGGATTTCTTTTAAATTTAAAAAATAATTTACTTATTTATAATGGTTGGCAGGTTCTTTCAGACTTTCTTCATTTAATACATTGTTCCTGCCCTGGGTGCATTTTATTGAGGGATTAGCTTTCACAACAATTTCCCCTGGTTTTGGCAAGTGCAGGTTTTTCTGCTCCTCCAGCTGGAAGAGCTTAAGCAACACAACACAACCAAGGTGCTATGGTTAACATTGAAAAAAAAATTGGCTGGGCCTGGCATGGCTCAATGGTTAAGCATTGACCTGTGAACCAGGAGGTCACAGTTCTATTCCTGGTCAGGGCACATGCTCGGATTGCAGGCTTGATTCCCAGTGTGGGGCATGTAGGAGGTAGCCAAATAATGATTCTCTTTCATCTTTGATGTTTCTATCTCCCTCTCCCTTCCCCTTCCTCTCTGAAATCAATGAAAATATATATTTTTTAAAAAGTTAAAGAAAAGCATTTGACAGCCTAACCCTGTCTGCTCTGGAAACCAAGGGTTTCCACAGCAGTGTTGAGACTAGGCTTATAGGATTTGTCTCCTTTCCTGGCTTTCACATTTTCCTACAGTCTCACTTTTTTGGACTTATCCCTCTGACTACAGGCATCTCCTCTGGTCTCCCGTCCTGTTTTCTCTTCCTCTAAGCCTGGTCAGAAAAGATCTCTGTGAATGATATTTATTCCAGTCTCTGTGAGTGATTTTAAGGCTCTCCTTTGTGCAGGTGTCCGTTGAGTGATGCAGCTTACTAGGCAAGTCCGGGCTGAACCCAAGTAAAGCTCAGAAAATAATAAAGACCAAAACCAAAAACCCAAAGGTGTGTGTCCCTCACTATTTCTCCTAAGCATCCCTCAACACAGAATTTAGTCACCTCCTCCAGTAGCATTCAGACCTAAGTGCAGGGTGCTTTTGCAGTAGTTCAGCAATTAAAGCATTTTCTTTCCCACCTGATCATGGGCCATCTACAATCTACTGTTCAGGATGTTTGTCAAACTCATCATCCATTTTGACTTCCATTAAAACTCTGATTTGCACAAAAATGTATCTCCTAATATATACATGGTGATCCCACCTGTATCAAAAGCATTGAGTAATTGTACAGAACAAGGGTATTTAAGTTGTTTTATACTTTGGAACCTATTGGAACCCTTTTGAACTATTGCATTCTAATAGTACTGTGTGGTTACCCATGCTTGTAAAGAAGAAAATAATAACTTTCCATTAGAAAGTGGTAAAAATAAAGATTCTTTTTCCCCCCATCCATGTTTGCAGACTGCTTCATTGACTCTAGAGATAAGAAGCATAGGTTTTATACACACTCTCACTTACTAACTTTACCTTGAAAAGCTTCAAACATGTGTATGGTTTTTTGTGCCAACAGCAAAAGGGCAGATTCATCTGATTCAGTCAAATTCACTGACAGTTACCTGGCCTTGTGGAGCTCCCTCCCAGATGCAACCTTCTCTTGAAACACGAAAAACATCTGGACATTTCCCAAGAGATAGAGGTAGGTAGGAAAAAATTGATTTCACCCACTAATATTTATAAACGGAAAATTTTGGGCAATTACATAAAGGCCTTCAAGGCTTATCTCTTAAGTTACCAACAAAGCAGTATCCAGCTAATCACAAAAGACAGGTGGAACACCAATGTAGGCAGGTGTACTTTAGTTTTCAGGGACATTCATTAGGGTCTTGTAGTGCCCAGATAGCAAGGAGTTCAGGTATCATTGATTATTGTTTGGGCAGGCTGAGGAGTATTATCCCTCTCAATGGTGATTAGAATTTTTCTTTCAGAACTTTATTTCATCACACTTGTCTCCAATACCAAATGTGTGGCTGGAATATTCTTTTCCTAACCATCATGTAATTTATAGCATTACTGATTCTACTTTCCTGCTTCATCTGTAGGAAAAAAGAATATTCTGGAGTCCAGAGATCTTTCAGCAAGTGCCAGAGAAGCTCTGGATGCCTTCATGGGTGGGAAATTGTTTGGAGCACAATAGACCCTAAACATCTCTTCAATGCCCAGAATCATGCCCTATATGCCCTTCTTTACCTGAGCCAAACCAATGCAACAGCATAAACTAAACTGATTTTCTAATCCTGCTGTATAGAAATTTGACATTTGATGATGCCATCATCTGCCAGAGCTCCTCACACCATTGGCTCAAATGGGGAAATGTCTGATCTCTCCCTCAGGAAAGAAAAACATCAGGAAAATTTCAGATGCATAACTGGGCTATTTTCCAATTTTGCTATCTTAAACAATGCTAAATGATGATTACCCAGCAGTATCCTAGGAGCCAAGGGCCACTGCACAGAGCCTGGTTAAGTATAAGCCTTGTTGCCTGGATATTATGCATCTAAATCTGCATTCATTTGTTCAATCTTTTCTTCCTCACTTCTGCCCAGGTTACCAACCCAAACTAGGAACAAATCTCTTCAGATCTTGGTCACTGACAGACTTGAGGATTCCTGCAGTGAGAGATTGTCTCTATTCTTATGGGAAAGTAATTAAATAACTTAAGCCCCAGGAGGCCACCATATGTACAGGTCCAAAGTATACAAAAGAGATGAGATCTCTGAGGATTTTGGAGATATTGCTCCCCTTTGCTATGCCAGTTTGGGCTTTAGTAATCATTAATGGAACTAAATATGAAAGAAAATATACTTAGATAGAATTTAATTTTCAAACAATGGTTCTGCAAAAAATATTTCAACAAAAAATTAAGAAACATAGCTAAAGGATTTTACAGAACAGCATTAAAAAACTGAAACAACAGAATTTCCATAATAACCACATCTCTCTTGAGAATTCTGTCATCAAATCATCCCAAAATAATAGACTATAATAATTTCCTGATTTGTCATTTAACTTTTGTTAAGAAGGTTGCTTTTTCTACCAACAGCAACAACAACAACAAAAACCACAAACAAACAAACAAACAAACAAAAAACATCTTGGAGGCAACTATCAGTTAGAGGTATAGTTAAAATGAGGAAAACTAGATGCCTGGAAGGAGAAACTCCCAACCCTAAATCATATGCTTATTCTAAATGGAATATTGAATTACATTTTTCACATTGAAGGTATTCCTGTCAGTCACTCCCTGTTCAGAAACCACATTGTAGGAAGATCATCACTACCACATTGCAGAAGGCTGGTGTCCCTGGTAAAGATGATGCATATCATGTAAACCCCATCACCAAGATCAAAGTATGCTTCTTTCATGGAAGCCAATACATGTCAAACCTTATTCCAATCAAATTATCTGGAAATGAATTCAAGATGAATATGTCATAGAATAATGTGACAGTGGAACTGCAAAAGGTCAGGGGTGGTTGTTTCAATGAGAGAGTCGTCAAATATTAATTCTAGAACATCCAGATGAGTAGGCTTTGAGGAATTAGTCAGCTGCTGGTGGGACATTGAGTTGCTGATTTGTGTGCAAATTTATTAAACAGCAAGGTATTGCTCTAAGTTTCACTTGAACTCAAAAAACATCCCCAAACTCACAAATAACATAAGCAAAAGACAAAACAAAATTTTCTACTTAAAAGAGAAATAATTTCAGCAAACCAATATTCAAACTTACTCCACTCTTTCAGAGCCGTTTGGTAAAGTCCCAATCGTTTCCTCATCCCCAAGGATGTCTTGTATCTCATTTCCTGACTTTGAGCCTGTTGGGGGAGGTGGGGTAAGGAAGAGAAGTAGTTACTAGTTAAATATTTTTACACATGTTTGTACGGAACAGTCTTGTAGTCTGAATGTGTGATTTAAAAAAAATGTGTGGATCTATGGATCTGAAAAGTTTTAGTCTTTCTTTGACCATTTTCAAATTTGGCAGTGAAAATAAAATAACTCTGCTAGGAACTTCCTGTATTTATTGCAAAACAACATACCCTTGAAGATAAAAAAATATTAAAATCATCATTCCCCAACACGTTGTATTCTTTTTTATCTCAAACTCATGTTATTCTGTCTTTCAGGTAGAATTAAGCACCCAGTTCAGCCAGCCAGTGTTCAAACATCTCTAACTTTTAGAATTTGAATTTATTATATGAGAAGCTGCCATTATTTTCTTTAAGTGTATTAACTGAGTTTAGTAAAATGGAATGAGGAGGCCTGGGACATTAGCAGATGAAAAATTGAGTTGTAACTCTTGAAACTGGGAGGAGAGGAATTACTTTGCAAATTTCTAGATCCTGTTCTGTTCTGTTGGTATGGAGTCCCTTACATGGTTTATTCCCCCCAAAACTTTTTAGAAGCCATTATTGGTTGATTTTTCAAAGTCAATATAAAATTTCCCCAATTTTTTTTTGGGGGGGAAAGGGGTCTCATTTCTATTATCTGGTCCTGATTGTCCCACTTCTTATTTAAGAAAGTCAGAAACAGCCCTAGCAGGTTTGACTTAAGTGGATGGAGCATTGGGCCTGTGGACTGAAGGGTTCCAGGTTTGATTCAGGTCAAGGGCACATTCCCTGGTTTGGGACTAGATCCCCAATAGGTGCATGCAGGAGGCAGCCAATCAATGATTCTCATCATGGGTGTTTCTTTCTCTCTCTCCCTCTCTCTCTCTCTCTCTCTCTCTCTCTCTCTCTCTCTCTCTCTCTCTCTCCCTTTCAATAAAAATATGTTTTAAAATTAATAATAATAAAAAAGAAAGTAAGAAATAACCTGCTCCCCTCAACCCCCACAATATAATTGCAGATCAAATTCACTTTGTCGATAAAATCAGTAAACCATTAGCCATCTTAAATCCTAAAACCCACCCTGGGGACTTCTGCATCTGTCAGGCAAGGAAAGGCAGTAGAACAGCCAAACAGAGTCAATCCACCCAACACTGGCCCTCAGTTTGGCCTAGAAAGACAGTCATTCAAAAGGTCTCAGGCTGGACAAACACAACAAACCCTCTATCAATGAAGAAGTCTGCTTGTCTTAACACTCCAGTCCACAGAACAAGCAGTTGTTTAAATTGAACTGCAGGCTAAATCCAAGTGAGGCTCTGCTATTTCAAAGGCTTTCTAGTTCTCTATATTCAAAGATCTCTTTCTCTTTCCCTCAACCCCCAATTTGAACTTGAATTAGCTTGGGTGTTTTCACCCTTCCCTCTCCTTTCTTTTCTAGTTTCAAGCCTGAGATGTGTGTGTGTGGGAGAGGGGACAGGGGGAGGTGTAGGGGTAGACTCACCATTTCCTAGATGGTTTTATTTATTTTCAAATTTTCCTAACCAAAAGGCTTCCATCTCCAAAAGTAATAAACACAAATCAGAAAAGAAAGCAGACCCAACTTTGCATTCCTTCAGAAGAGTGGCCTGCTGGATGACTTTAAAATTTCTTCTTGGCAGGATATCTGGCATGAGAAAAGTTCTGGTTGGTTGGAAATAATAGAATTTACTATTTAGCTTCTGAAGAAAATGGGTGTGAATTTCCCTAGAGAACTCTGTTCACCCACAATGCTGCCCAAGCCCTCCATTTAAGAGGCCCTGGCTACTTCCACTCCCAGGTCTTGGCAGTCTTTTGTATGTTACAAACCCACAGGCATGCAAACAATTGCTGCAGAGTCCAGACTTCAGGCAGGCAACTGGGACCTTAAGCTGCTCTCTGTAGCAGCTTCATAACCTGCCAGTGCAGGAAACAAAAGTAAATATATTCTTTGGTTCAAACTCTGACCCCACTTAGCAAGCTGATCATCTTTTAAAGGAGGAGTGAGAGAAATGAGGAGCAGTCTCTGGGTCCTGGGACCTGAGATCTCCACCAATCCAAGGATTTAAAAACTCTGAAATTGCTAGGTTTGATTTCCTCCCTGAATGATTGCTATTGACTCCTCTTATCACATCAGCTCTGACCAATGAATCACCAGTCAGGAGCACAATCTGGAAATTATTGAAGTCTGCCTGAATTTCCACACCCTGAGAAGAGGAGCCAGCAAACCCTATATAGTTAATTGTGCTGGGGGAGAGCCAAGAAGGTAGGCGAGGGGGGGGGAGGGGGGGGAGGGTACATGCAAAGGGCACTATTTTGTGGGCTCACCCTAGCTTGTGTGGTCCTATTCAAGGTCAGAAGTCATTTGCAGTCTGATTCTCAAGCTAGGGCCTCTAGTCCCCAAGACTGCAACACTGCTCCACACTGATTAACCTGGAGACTTTCCTAAGAAGAAGGCATGCTAGCCTGTCTGCCTCAGTTCAGCCAGTGTGGATGCAGTGCAGGGATCCTATAGACTGCCTCAGAGCTCCAAATCCAAAACCCCTCTCCACCTTTGCCAATGGCCTGCTGTAATCAGCTGCACCAGGCAGTCCCTGGCTCCCCTCCACTGGATCTTTGAATACCAGGAAGTTGGGATGTGAGTCTGGGCTGTGCGACAGCTTTTTTTATTTTTTTTATTTTATTTTATTTTTTTATTCTTTTGTTCCCTAGAGGGAAGAGCTGGGCTTTCCCCAGCCCATGGCTGAAGGCTGGGTGACATTCTTGTGTTCACCTTAGAGTTTGCATTAATAAGTCCCTTGAAGGATATTTAACTATGCCTTTGAACCACCCATCGTCCCTAAATCCGCCCATGGCTTAGATGGGGGAAAGTAATGTGGTGCCTTTCCATGGGTTGCTGTGCTGCCAATGCTGTTTAGAAATCCAAAGGTGCTCTCCTGCAGATGGTGCCAACCAAGTTGCAACCTTCCAATGCCCCTTCTCCATTCCCAAGACCTCACTAGATTCCAGCTATTCCCATGGTCAAAGCTTTGAGGCAGACCTACTTTCTTTCACTGCCCCACAGTTCCACTCCTCTTGTCCCTAATTTACATACAGTGTCCATACGTGTCTAGCATAGTGCCCAGAATCCGAGGTGGCTTCAGCCTGCTCCCCAGAGAGCTAATCTTAGCCCTCATATGTATCTGAGAGAAAGAAAGCTAAGTCCCAAACCCATGGCAGGCAGCGCGCAGAGAGAGGATCTCAGCTGTCAGCGTCTTGAAGCAGGACCACAGGACGCATGAGAGCAGTGATCCAGCCCGCGGCTGACCCAGCCAGCATCCGCCTTCAGGTTGGGGCGGAGAAGTTCCATCATCTTGCTGCCAGCCTGGATAACTAGGCTCCTTGACCCTGGGGAGGAGCAGCGGAGTCCCTCCAGCAATCCTCTTGGGGACAAAGCAGAGAAGCTACTCGCAGGGGTCCCTTCTGGTCACTCCTTGAGAGGGAAGTTCAGGATCACAATTCCCCATCTTGTGCCCACCTGGACACCCAGGCAATTTACAAGGAGAGAGGTAGGGAGGGCGGGTGGGCAACAAGCTTCTCTAGGTCGCCTTTCCAGTTGGTGCTCCATCTGGTCTCCTTACAGCTCCCTCTTTCCTGGGGAGAAGGATTTCACTCATCCACGATCACTGCCCCTTGGTAGAAGGGCCCTCCTCCCCCTTTAGTGTCAGTGAGATAGGGCCAATACCCATGGTTGGGGGGGGGGCTAGAGAGGCATTTGGTTGGGGAGAAAGTCTAGATGGGCTTTCCCCCCAGAGTTGTTTGGGTGCCAATGGCTCCCATAAGGGAGCTTGCTACCCAACTGCTTGGGGGTACAAGTCTCTTCTGTCTACCCCCTGGATTCACGCACTTACCCCACTTCACCTGTTGCTGGGGTCTCCTCATTTCTGCACATCACTTTGGGGTGCGGAAGGGGAACCACAAACCCCTCCAAGCCTCTCTTTCTGGTTCCAGCGAGGCAGTCATCCTTCATTTCTCTTTTTCCAGCTTTCAGGAAGCAGTTAGAGAATGTATGATGAAGCAGAAATGAGCCGTCAGGATATTTTAATGGCTTATATGTCACGTTGGTGCATGTGGCTTTGAACTGGAGCCTCTTTCGTTTCCTGCAGAGAGCGCAGCAAATCCCAATTGATAACTTCTACAACCCACAACTTCTTTATCCCCTCCCTGTACAGTCACTCTTACCCTGTATATTTGGACACGTTTCCTAAAAATACTCTTTTCAAAGCCCCCATTGGATTTTCCACAGACTGGAGAGAAGAAGACTTTACTTTTTTGAAGAACCCTTTTTAATGGTTACCCTTCCCCCTCACGTTCCCTCCTTGTTTTTTTGTTTTGTTTTTTGTTTTGTTTTTGAAAGGCGGGCGAGACGGGTTCAATATTTGTTCTCCTTAGGATAGCAGTTTAGCCTCCAGAGAAAAGTTGCAGGTAAGGTCCAAACTCCCCGTAGACAGTAGAAAACGCTTTGTTCAAAATAGATATATCAGAGCCACTCAAAGTGTATACTTAAAAAACAAACAAACAAAAAAACAAACAAACACGACTTCTCAAGCCGAGCCCTTTCTTTCCATTTCTCAAACAGGTCCACTCAAAGTTAGTACTGGGTTGCTGCGCTCAGACTTGTTGCTGGGGACAATATATTTGATTTTTTCTCTCTCTCAAATTTCTATTTCCCAGTCCAAGCACAAATGCTCCGCGCCGGGTTTCTTTAGATCCTGGGAAACCATCCCAGTTACACAAGTCCGGTTTAGAGAGGGGAGAGTGCAGTAAAAGGGCAGCTCAGTTTGCCAAATCCAAGTGAAAATCTAGTCGATGAAAAGACCAGAAAACCAGAAAGGCAAGGAATGGCTAGTGCTGATTCTGTCTTCCTCCAGCCTTTGCCGCTAAGGCTGGAGACTGGGCAAAACAAATTCATTTTCATTTTCCTTTCTCCCAAGCACTGGAGAGTTTCCTAGCAGTGAAAGGATGAGTTGAGGTTTCTTTGTTTGCGAAGAGAGTTTAGGGCTCTGATTCAGCTGCAAATAAGCCAAATGAAGTTAGAAACAAAGGGCAAATTGAAAGATTCCGACTCTTGGCTTTTTGTGTTTTCCTTACTAGAAAATAATTAGATCTAATGAGTATGCAGACGTTTGAGCTAAATCCTCAGCCCAGGCTGCTGGGTTTTAAACAGAGCTGGGAGAAATGCAACCTTTATCTTCCACCACCGCCCGTGCATCCGTGTGCATTTTTTTTTTTTGAAATGCATAAATGTTACTGGCCTTAATTGATTGAGTCACAGGGATTTTTCTTCTACTTTTAAGTGCCATATTCTTCTACCTTTCAACAATCATTTTAATATATGGTCAATGGCTCTTTGTGGACAGGACAAAAAGCAACTACGGGCAGTTGTTGAATAGACTTTGCGCTGGGCAAAGACAGGTTAATCGAGGGCCGCATCGCGAAAACAAGCAAGTGTTGTATGTTTGCACTGAATCCAAATGTCTGCATTTTCCTAACTAAATCAAAGGGAGTGTTATTTCTTTTTCTGCTCACTCATCTGAAGGTAAGTAAATTTTCTTTGGCGATCAAAAGCCTGGTCAGCAACAAAGACGCGCCCGTTTTTTCCACCGTCCTGGTGTGGCGAGTTGTGGAATTTCAATAACTGTGACAAGGGTGACTGATTTGTGAAGTCAAAAAGGTTTGAATGTCACAAAATTTACATTGGTTCTATCTATCAGGGATTTAAATACCAAAAAGGTATTTGGGGATTTCTAGGGAGCTTTGGACAGTTCTGAAGAACAATGGCACATTGGGAAATTTACAGTTTTACCTGAATGAAAGGGGCTCCCATTGGAAACAGTAGTGCAAAAGGATGGGGTCATGGGGGCAGATGAAGGAGACTAGGGAAAAGGGAGAAAAGAGAAGAATAACACGGGGGGGGGAGGTAAAACTGAGCAGCAATGTTTCCAATTTGCTATTAAAAAAAAACTCTGAACCTCAATAAACTAGAAAGTTAAGAGCACTCACCTACCTATGCTTATTTGAGGTGGTGGTGGTGGTGAGGTAACTGAGGAAATTGAGGCAGGAAACCTGATGGATTTGATAAAAGTAAGAAAACCAAGGGAATCGGTTATCCTGATATTTTGTAAAGAGAGAGTGGAATGTCCGTGTGTTCCTGGGACCTTAAATTATAAACAGGAGTGGGGGGGGGGCAATGCAAGAAGAAAGAAAACTTCAAAAAGAGCAAATAACAAAAGCTTCCTTTGCTGCCCTTGAAAGGAGGGAAGATGAGGGAAAGAAAAGAAAGTTGCTGAATCCGGACATTTTAGAAGTGTCTTAGCTGTGTTTACCAGCCCTAGCCAGGTCTCCTGCTCTCCCACTCACCCGAAGTCCCTAATCGCTCAGCTAAAACCAGATTTGAAAAAGGACAAGACTAAGAAGAAGAGATTAGAGAGAGAGAGGAGAGAGAGGGGGGGGGAGAGAAGAATGGGAGAGGACAAGCAAGAGGAATCAGGGTAAAAAAAAATCTGTATGACTGCAAGAAGAAAAATAAATCATGCCCCCCCTCCATTTTTTTTTTTCCGTGAGAAGAGGGTAAAAATGTTGGGGGGGGGGGGGGGAAAGTTGCTTCTCCAGGCAGCCGGGGTTGTCAAAAGGGGATGTCAAGCGCTTTACAATACCTGGGATTGATGAGGCTGGAGGGCCAATGAACAGCGCGAGGAGCCTAGGCGCGCCCTCAGTTGACTCGGCGGCTGCAGGCGGCGTAAATGCGGACGGACCAATGGGAGCTGGCGTCAGCCGCACGTGACACCTCCCCCCTGCTCCCATTCATCAAGGGGGGGGGGGGGGAAGAAGGGGGGGACGGTGTCGTCCTTTCAATTCATTTATCTGCAGGAATGATTGCTGCTATCAGTCTCGCGCTCACCGCCCGGCTGAGGAGGTGAAAGTTTCTCCCCAGGAAGATAAACCGCAAAAGACAATATTGTGCATTATTTGCACCTTTTCTTTGGCTTTTTCTTTCTTTTTTGCTCCCCGCTTATTATTATCATTGTTGTTGTTGTTGTTGTTGTTATTATTATTATTATTATTATTATTATTATTATTATTATTGCAAAAGGCAGAAGGGAAAAGGGAGAGTGAAGGAGCGAGAAGGTGAACCTGAGAGAAAAGAGAGCAAGAGCGAGGGTCTAGTGGAGAAGTGAGGAGGGGCATCCGGCGCGAGGCGGAGAGTGAGCAATTGCGGCTCCTGTGCTCACATTCCTCTATGCTACAAATCTGGGAGGAAGGTTTTTTTTTGGAGAGGGGGTTGGGAGGGTGGGTCGAGATGCTCCATGGCTTTCCCTGGGCAGCCTTGACGCGGGCTCTTCTCAACAGAGACTGAGAGGCGAGAAAGTGCGAGCCCGGCCAGCGGGGTTGCTCTGAGGGCTCCGGAGCCCGCCTTGCCCACTGCCGGCAGCCGTCTGGCTTCTCCGAGGTTGGCCAGGCGGGCTCCCCGGCGCGCGGAGCGGCTGCCTGCAGGCTAGGACTTCGAGAGGTGGGTCGACTCCCCCCCTCCCTCCTCATCTTCTTCCTCCTTTTCCTCCACCTCCCATTCCTCCTCCTCCTTCTAATTTTCCCTCCTCTGTAGGCAAGGGTGGGGGTGGGGAGGCCGGAGCTCGCCCGGAGCAGCCACGATGCTCCTGGACGCCGGCCCCCAGTACCCCGCGATCGGCGTGACCACCTTTGGCACGTCCCGCCACCACTCTGCGGGCGACGTGTCCGAGCGCGACGTTGGCCTGGGCATCAACCCGTTCGCCGACGGCATGGGAGCCTTCAAGCTCAATCCCAGCTCCCACGAGCTGGCCTCTGCGGGCCAGACAGCCTTCACATCTCAGGCGCCTGGCTACGCGGCTGCCGCTGCCCTTGGCCATCACCACCACCCGGGCCACGTCGGCTCCTATTCCAGCGCAGCCTTCAACTCCACGAGGGACTTTCTGTTCCGCAACCGGGGCTTTGGAGACGCGGCAGCAGCAGCCAGCGCTCAGCACAGCCTGTTTGCTGCTTCGGCAGGGGGTTTCGGGGGCCCACACGGCCACACGGACGCTGCGGGCCACCTCCTTTTCCCTGGCCTTCATGAGCAGGCTACGGGCCACGCATCGTCCAACGTGGTCAATGGGCAGATGAGGCTTGGCTTCTCGGGGGACATGTACCCGCGGCCCGAGCAATACGGCCAGGTGACAAGCCCACGTTCGGAGCACTATGCAGCGCCTCAGCTTCATGGCTACGGGCCCATGAACGTGAACATGGCCGCGCATCACGGCGCCGGAGCCTTCTTCCGCTACATGCGCCAACCCATCAAGCAGGAGCTTATCTGCAAGTGGATCGAGCCGGAGCAGCTGGCCAACCCCAAAAAGTCGTGCAACAAAACTTTCAGCACCATGCATGAGCTGGTTACGCACGTCACTGTGGAGCACGTCGGCGGACCTGAGCAGAGTAACCACATCTGCTTCTGGGAGGAGTGCCCTCGAGAGGGCAAGCCTTTCAAAGCCAAATACAAACTGGTCAACCACATCCGCGTGCACACGGGAGAGAAGCCGTTTCCCTGCCCCTTCCCTGGCTGCGGCAAGGTGTTCGCGCGTTCTGAGAACTTAAAGATCCACAAAAGAACACACACAGGTATGGAAACCTCTTTCTTTGACCCACCACCTGTGCCCCACTCCTGCTTCATCCTGGGCTTGGGACCAGAAATCCAAATGTCAGCGACCAGGCACAAACTGGGCCTTGGTTGAGTCTGGGCCTCAGGTTCTGGCAGGCAGGCAACAAAAGTGTACGCTGGTTTTTGGTTTCAGGTTTGAAATGATGAAAAAAGTATAAGACGATCAGACTGGAAGGATCCTGAGATATAGATTTTAAAATGAGGAATAAAAAAGGCCGGGAGATCAGAGACCTGGCTTTGAATAATTGACGTGAGCGCGAAACAGGGAGAGGTAGCCAGCTCTTCCTGATGGCAGAGGCTCCAGCTGCACCAGCAGCAGACAATTTAAGTCTAAATATTTGCTTCCCTCCAACATCCTTATCCTTCTCTAGACAGGACTTTCCCAAAGGATGGGACTGAGGAAATTGAAGGATGTCGAATGAAGATGCA